CCTTAGGGAATCTCCGACCCACCCCTAGCATACCCAACCAGCTGGGGAAACTAAGTGGTACAGAGGGATCTCACTCCTTTGTTATTTAAAGGATTAATTTCAAAATTTTTAACTATTTACAGGCATACAGTGAACTTAAGACTCAAAAATAAAGGTGACAAAACTGCTCCATCTCTCCCTTCTCTACACTCATACCCTGTCTAGATGGTCTGCGGGGCAGGCACATTACTTCACTCCACTGGAGAAGGTTAGATCAGCATGTCTCCCAACATGGCCTCTGCCTCGTGCAGACTCCAACCAAAAGTCTGACTGGCTTCAGACTTCTCACAGACTGACCACTATAAAAACAACAGTCTCCCGCCCAGGAACTGGCTCTCCCTCCTGCAGCATTCTGGGGCAGATCTCCTCACAACCTTGATGGACTTCCTGTCCTCTCTAGGGAGCTGCCGTCAGATTGCTGGTTGGAGATCTGGGGGGGGGGGGGAGGAGGAGACTAGGCCCAGGCCTACCTCCAGTTTGATGGCCTCCTCCTATCCGGCCCACACCAACTTACATGCACAAAATAGCGTTTCTCCACAGGGTATAAAAAACACACACAAGAATTAATTTTGTTGATTAGAACATGACATGACTACAGGAAAAAGTCAGACTAACAAACAGGAAGCTGGGATAAAACAGGCTCAATACTCAAAGGGAAAGAGAGAAGTGCCACATATTTCTCAGGGCAAGGTTAATGCAAGCATACGAATTTAAGCCCAGACTGGGCACCTACAACTCTAACCGCACTGCAATACACTTTACCTTCCTCAGCTGGTGGTGGAAAGTGTCATCAAGACGAAGCCAACTTATGGCAAGAGAGGTTCGGAGGTAATTTGCCACTGACTGCCTCTGCATAGGAATCCTGAACTTCCTTAGATGTCTCCCATCCAAATACTAACGAGAGCGGACCCTGCTTAGGTTTCAAGGTCTGATGAGATTGGGCTAGACTGGGCCATCCAGATCAGGGTGTCCTCTTCAGAGTCCTTCCTTTATAACAATATAGGTCATTTTCATTCAGCTTTATAGGTTATGGATCTCTTGTCATATGCCTGAAGCTGAACTTCTGGCGCTGAACCACAGGGTCACATTTACTTCCATCAAATTACAAGGATTCTTCCAAGAAGATGCTGCAGCACTAGAGAGCTGCGTAGTCTCCTGACATGGCAATTTCAAAACCAGGCTTGGAAGCTAGAAAATTTCCTTCTTGTTTGCAATTTGAGGTTTTCACAGTTGAGAAATCTGACAGGGCTCTTTTTGTAGCAGGTACTCATTTGCATATTAAGTGACACACCCCTAATGTAGCCAATCCTCCAAGAGCTTACAGTAGCTCCTGTAAGAAGAACTCTGTAAGCTCTTGGAGGATTGGCTACATTAGGGGGTGTGGCCTAATATGCAAAGGAGTTCATGCTACAAAAAGAGCCCTGTGACAAAGTATCTTGTCTGCAGATATCTTTGGCTACAGGTAAAGGTAAAGGTTTCCCTTGCTCGAAGGCCAGTCGAATCACTCTAGGGTTCAAGCAGTGCTCATCTCCGTTTGGCTCATCTTTGGCTATAGGCCTCTCTATATAACTGTTTTCAATCCAATCTAGAGCCAATTTGGTGTAGTGGTTAGGAGCGCAAACTCTAATCAGGGAGAACCGGGTTTGATTCCCCACTCTTTCACATGCAGCTGCTGGTGTGACCTTGGATCAGTTACAAGTTCTTTCAGAGCTGTTTGCTCAAGAGCAGTTCTCCAGAGAGATCTCTTGGCCCCACCTACCTCACAGGGTGTCTGTTGTGGGGAGGGGAAAGGGGACTGTAAGCTGCTCTGAGACTCCTTCGGGTAGCGAAAGGCACTAGATGCAGTTTCCAGGTCAAGTTCAAGGACATCCCCACATAGAGCTAGTAGTACTCCAGCCTGGAAGTGACCATTGCATGGATCACTGTAGCTAAGTCCCAGGAGGTGAGATAGGGAACCAGTTGCCTGACCAGCCGAAAGAGATAAAAGGCCAACCTGGCAACAGGGGGCACCTGGGCCACTATCGAAAGTGAGGCATCCAGGATCACCCCAATTCTCCTCACCCTCAGCGCTGGCATCAACGGTGTCCCACCAAACGTTGGGAGATGGATACCTAATCCCAAGCCTCCATGACTCAGGTACAGGACCTCCACCTTCATTGGATTTAATTTCAGCCAGTTCTGCTGTAACCATCCAGCCATGGCTCCTAATGCCCTGTCCAGAGTATCTGGGGTGGAGTCTGTCCATCCATCAGCAGATAACGCTGGGTGTCATCAGCATACTGATGGCAACCCAGCCCAAACCCCTGGACCAACTGGGTGAGGGGGCACATTTAGATGTTAAACAACACTGGAGGAATGATTTCCCCTGGGGCACTCTGTATTCCAGTGGGTATCACGGAGACATCCTCTCCCTGAGTGCCACCCTCTGTCCCCAACCATGGAGAAAGGAGAAAAGCCATTGTAAAACAGTCCCCCGTATCTCTACACCTTCAAGGCACTGGGTCAGAAGATCATAGTCAACCATGTTGAACGCTGTCAAGTCCAAAAGAAAAAGCAGCGCCAGCCCACCTTGATCCAGATCATCTGTGAGGGCAACCAGTGCAGTCTGTGTCCCATGGCCAGGGTGGAAACCAGACTGGAATGGATCCAGGATGGAAGAATCATCCAAGAAGACCTGGAGCTGCTCAGCCACCACTTTCTCAACCACTTTATCCAGAAATGGAAGATTTTAAACCGAGCAATAGTTGGCAAGGACTGCAGGGTCAAATGATTTTTTTTCAAGAGTGGAAGCACCACGGCCTCATTTAGCCCCACTGGGAATATCCCTGAATACAGGGATAGCCTCATGATATCCCCCAGGGGAGCCTGAACACCTTTTACACAGGCCTTGACCAGCCAAGACAGGAATGGGTCAAGGTGGCAGTTGGAGGCCTTCACAGCTACCAGGATCTTGTCAACTTCCTCCTGGGAGAGCCGACTGAATTGGTCCGAAATCGGACCTGAAGTCGGATAAGGGGCTTCCAGTTCCCTTTACTGTATCAACTGTGGCCAGGAGGTCCTGGTGGAGCGACAAGACTTTGTCTGCAAAATAGCTCACGAGTGCCTCACAGCCAATAGCCAATTCCTTATCATTTTGCTTGCCTTGGGGCCAGGTAGTTAACAACTAAATTGTCCTAAATAATTGTGCCAGGTGAGAGCTTGCAGATGCAATGCTTTAAAACTCAAATTGAGATATTGAAATTACTATTTACATTTCCTGATGTGTGTGAGAGGGTAGGGAAGAAATAAATAAAATAAGTGCACTACATGTAATGGCTATGATTTGTAAATATTCACAGAAAACACTGAAGGAACATTATATATAACATAACTGACTACTATTCTGGCTCACAGTATGCTACTAAAGTGACCCTTGGGTTGAACTTTGCCCTTGAAGATGCTTACTCTAGATAAAACTGATTTCCTTTGAGGTAGCATCAGAGTTGACTGAAGTCCTTGGAGAAACATTCAAGATTACAAGATAGCCAACTTTAGAAGACTAGGGAAGGCACTGCAACAAAACTGTTATGAGATAGTTGTAATAACAAATGTGCCACCTATCAGCTACTGAAGGTGTTGCAGTTACATGTACCAGCTGAAACAGATTAGCAACCATAACAAGGTCACCAATAGCAGACATCTATAGCCACAGTCCCATTGAACTGACATACAGAAAGTGACAATTACTTTGAAGAACAGAAGATCTCCCACTTGTCAAGGATAAGGAGTTCTTGACACATGAATGGATGCTGCCTTTAAAAAACAGCCCACTGCAGAAGTTTGTTAAATGATGTCGCAAAATTATTTTCATTCTACCCCATGAAAAAAAAATCAAGCAATATCAGCTGTTCTCGAAAAGCACCAAGTCTGGCCTCTGAAAACTACTTACTGAAGACAACCATGTCAGCCTGTCTCTGCAAAAATGCCCAATAAATGGATTTGTCTAAAAGTGTACAAAGTCTCTTAACTCTAACCACACTTACTATAAAAGTTAAGTGCTATAGGATTCTCTTATTTGTACGATCAACATCAGTAATTTTCTGGACAATCTGCAAGCTCAACACAATTTTCAGAGTGAAAGATGACAGCATAAAGACGCAAATCTTCGTAAAGAAATAGTTTGACAATGTCTATGTGTGAGAAATATTAAGCAACACATACACATTTAGATGATATCACTGTATGCTCACAATTCTGAAAGCAAGATGGACCCTACTCGAGGGGGAACATAAAAGAGCAAAAAGATCAGCAAATAGGCAGACCAGGACTGAGGATGAAAAGCAGCTCAACAAAAGCAATGGGAAGTTGCCACCTATTTAACAGTAGTTGTCACACAACTTGCCTTTCTTAGCACAACAAATACCTGCAGCACAACAGGTGTGCATAATTCTCAGATACGGGTATATACCATTTTCTGCTCAGAAAAGATACTCCTGCAGGAGGTTTGTCATGTGAAGTGGTACTAAACTCACAATGGATGGCCCTTCTTCTGAACCACCTTGGTGCTAACCACCATGATTTGGAACCTACCCAGCAATTCTAACCTGTATACAGAGTGAAGGTCAGGAAGGAAGGAAGCAAGCTAACAAACTGGGAGAGTGTATGCTATACATCACATTGTCATTTTCAACAGAACAAGCAAAATGGTGACCATATACTTGCTATGAGGGCAAGGAGTACACAAGACCATTAAGGGTGAAAGTTAAAATACACTTTTTAAAATAAAAGTCTTGCCTTTGCTACATCCATGGAATACTTCCTCAACAGAAGAGAACCTGTTGTTGCTTAAGGATACATAGCCTTCCTGCCTTCTCTACAACTTTCCACTGCCAGAAAACAAGTAAAAACACTACTCTTACACATTTGTTTTGGATACACGTTAAGCATTTGAGATAAAAATAGTTAAGTGTCTTGCAACTTACCATAAATCATGTGCAAATCTGATGCTGTCCCCTTGTTTATCAGTTCATACTGGAAGCCTGTAATCTTTCGACTAATGTCCTGCTGAGGGGTAGCCTCAACAAAGAGTCCACCCTGTTCATAGCTGAAGCAATGCACTCTAGTGGGACTATGGTCTCCATCTCGGAACAGTAACTTCAATTCTCCAGTTCTTTCCAAATAAATATTTGTTCCTGCAGAGTCTTTAAGGGGTTTTATGCAAACAGTCCAATATTTGGAAGAGGAAGGGAAAACATTAGGTCGCAGGTGGATTATCAATGCTCCTGTGGGATACATCCATTCTATGGCTCCTTCAGAACAGCGAAGGTAGACCTGTTCAACATCTTTTTTGTGAGATTCGTGCGTTAATCCACTGGGGGGGAAAGACAAGGAGAAGTTATAAGAGTGCATGCATTTTATACTAAAACAGTACATACGACACTCTTTGGAGTCAGAAATTGTGGGAATTCCTACAAAGACTGTGGAATGTTCCAGTGAAGTGTGCTTTATGACAGACCTCCTTAACACTTGGAAATGGTTTCTATTATGAATTCAAGTGTTGGCGCTTTTCTCAAAATCACTTAAATTTCCATTGACTGACACTTAGCAGGATCTCCGCAAAGTTCAGTCTATGCATATTGATCAACAGTCAAACAGAAGTGATATAGCCAAAATCATCTGTGAAACCTGTGGTTGAGGAGAAACTTTGAGCCTTGAGTCTACTCTTGCACTGTAAGTTCACAGCATTTGCGTCTTGGTTCTAGCAGAGGATTCCAACAAACAGAAGGGGAGAGATTTCAAGCATTTCTGTTGCTGCAGACTCCCATACTTGGAGTCAGAGTCACCTGCCCACCAGAAACAGCATTTCAGGAAGCATTTGGGGCTACAGCAGGAGGTGGAAGAAGTCTGCTGATGGAAATCCCTTTTATCTATGCAAGTTACTCCTGGTTCCTTGGCTAAGGAACTAGATGTTCAGGGAACTTATATGACTTCCAACAGGTCCTTGAGAGTAATTCAAAGGGTATATTCTGTTGCTATGTGGGGCGGGGGGAGTACTTTGTAGTTTTTGTTTCTGCACTGCCACAGCCAAGGGGATCTAATCTCTCTCCACAAGACATGGAGACCATAGCTTACAGCTCACTTCCCACCCGACTTGACATTTTCAGCTGGCAAATCATACTTCAAAGTTACTTGGAAGTACAGCTGAAGAGCAGCAAGCATAAAGACAATTCATGGAGCATTTTTATTGGCCATGAGGTAGGCAATCACTGCCAGAATTTGTCAGTGGGAAATCTAAGGCAACACACAGCTCAGAATAATTAGTATAAATGGGAAACATTTTAAAACTCAACACAATCACTCTCAAACAGAAATGGAAAACTAAACAAAATAGGCAACACCCTCTTAGTAGACATGAATATGGCAATGCTGCTGCCCCATTTTGTGCCGGTCAACCTGTTGTTTCATAACAAGCAGGAACAAAAAAACCTGTTGTAATGGTACAGAGCAGCCTACAAAGTCAAATAGGAAGAAAATACATTAAGAAGTAGGACTGCTATTTACATACCTATTATCATGATTGCAATTGTCTTGGAGGCTCACAACCCATCTTTTAATTATGAAGCATGATTACTATAGCTTAAATAATGTGGTCACTAATGCACTGCATCTGCTCACAAATTGCAGGCAGTACTTTATGCCTTACATGGTTGCAATGACCTCTAGGGGGCCAGCTCATACACAGTCAAAAAGCAGCTTGTTTTGCCACACAGCCCCTGTACCTGTGCACCACCCGCACACCTGCTTATTCCACAGCAGTTTCTATCCCCTCAGCAGCACTTCACAGAGTGAGGTGAAGGCTTGTGAGGCCAGCATGAGATTTTCTCAATGGGATCCTTTACAAAGGAATGAGATCACATGAAGAAACAAGCTGTTTTGGACTGTAAGAAGTCAAGAACATTCTAAAAGGAACCAGCACAATAATGCAGACAGCTCTGACAGAAATCAATTGCACAATGCTAGACTGGGCACAAAGAGCCTTCCTGATTCAGGAATTACCTGATTGCCCCAGGATGCAAGGCCCCAAGCGAAAAAAAAAGAAAGAAAGCTACCTTACAAGTCCATTGTTTTTAAGAATAATTGTACATTTGTATGTGACTCTTCTTTCCAAAGAACATTTAATGTCACAACAACCCTGCAATGGAGTTTAGGCTGAGAGTATGACTTGACCAAGGCCACCCAACTTCATAGTTCATTCCCATGTACAAACCATCACTGGCCCTTCATTCAGTAGCAACATTAAACTGGTTAAGTAATGGAAACAGAGATCCGCAGGTTGTAGTACTACCACCTTAGCCCTCTGGAGAGGAAGAGCTCAGTTTGTTCTCCAAATGAAGTTTTATTCCCTCCTTGATTCAGACTGGATAACATGACACAGACCAGAACCACTTATTTTTGTAAGTTCACCTGATTTCCGAAAATAGGTGGGTCTCTTTTTGGGCAACTGCAAGTATCACAAAGATGTGCCCCTGAAAGTGAGACTATCTGGTGACAGATGAGAACATTGGGGCTGCACTACAACAGGAAAGAGAACAAACTTCCTTACCTACATCCCCCGAGGCTGGCCTTCATAATAGAACTGATAAACCCAAGAGAGACTGCATTCATTAATACATTACTATACTAATGAAAGCTGGGGTGGGGCAGTGACTCCAGAGACTTAACTACAGATAAGGAAATCCCTGGTTCCAACAGTCTGTCAAGAATTCACAGTCCAGCCATGGGCAAGACCCTTTCACTAAGCTCCAAATCTGCACAGAAAGATAATTATACTGACCTACCTTGCAGAGCTGTTGTAATCAGTTAGTGCACATTAAGCTCCTTCAACACTCAAGTACTGTAAATATTATTGCAGTGACTAACAGCTGACCAGAATCAGGGCTGGGTTTTAACCATAGAAATGTAGATTCAAGTCTCAGTTGGCCTTAGATTTAATAGGCCTCAAAGGCTCAGAAAAGTAAGCATTCAGTCTCCATAGTGTGTGTTGGGGGTGGGGACAAATCATCCCATAAAAATGCCAGGAATAATCTTAACACTTCTATGTAAATTTGTATGACTGCATACACAGAGTGTTCTTGGGTACTAACCACACTGGTGTTAACCAAAGTTACTTCCAAGTGAGCTGAGGATACAGACTTTGTATACAAACCCATTTCAAGTAAACTATACTACCAGGAATATAGCACTGAAGGCATTAAACTGTAACCATGTGCCCCATATCAGCTGTATGTTTAGGACATGGGCCTTCTTCTAAGACTGTCTGATAACATTCAGCAAGCCTCTCATGTCTGATAACATTCTTTCCAGATAATGCAAATATTTGCTACTGAGCAGTCACACATTATCATTTATTTATTGGTCATAAATTTAAGAGTACACTCTAACTTTTACTTAGAAATGTGCAATATAAATGTTTTACATAAACAGTCATAAATTATCTGGATTTTTTTAAAAAAAAAAGCAAATTCCCCCTTCCACTAGGCAACTGGAAGGATTTTATGCCATTCCCAAAATGGGCAGTTATACAGTTATTCCTTGCCTGAATGATCCAATTAAAATAGAGCAAGTCCAATAAAGTCACTCACTGTTCCCTATTTTAAAAATGCCCCCAAAAGCCAAATACAGACTGCATATGCATAGCAGTGGTTTGGAAACCCTTTCCAACGTTAGATCCATAAGACTTGGAAAGCCATAAATTTTTACAGTGGATTAAATGGGAAGAGGTTGAGTTTTGAAGCTAAAGAGATTTAAAAGATTTCACAATCAGAGAGATTAGCATAACCGTGGCAGCCAAAGCATACCAGGTTGCCCTGAGCACTGCTGATTTACATCTAAAGTAGCTAGAGTGATGTTCTGCCACAGGTGTAATGGAGACAGGGGTCTGGAACAATATCTTTTTTTCCAGTGTGTTGTACAAGGACAGGTGCGGCATGGAAGGTGAACGCCAGAAGTCAAAGAATGTTACTGTCCTCTTAAAGCCTTCCTTTCACTTATCACAATGTTTCGTTTCAGAGGAACAGCTAACAGCTGTACACAGAAAAATCAAGCCTCAGTTCTGGATGAGAATTATTCTCCCCCTCCCAATATAATCCAATTCAGCAAAACCTCAAACACACCCTGAACCAGTCAGGTGCTTCAAAAAAAAAACACCAAAAGCCATCCTTGATCCCGAGTTAAACAAAGGCAAGCAGCTCGATACAATCCCAGCTTTACTACTTCTACAAGAGTGTACAATACTCACAAAACCCCGTCAACGTTCCTCATAAAAGGAGGGCTTACAAGCCTATTGCGTTACAATGAAGTTAATGCTTGAGCGCAGGAGGTCACGGGCTACAAAGCGCGTTACTCTGGTGTTGGGTTACACAAATGTGGAGTGTGTCGCGGGCAGTAAAAAATGCTCTGTCTGCTAAAGGCCAGCCCTCCTACCGCACCCCCCTGGCACGTTGCTTTGGCAATCCTCATCCCCGGACTCTCCTAGAATGTTAACCAGGCCACTCTCCCTTGCATCTTCCAATAAAACAGAAAAAAACAGAGGAAACTTATTTTTAATCCTTTCCCAACAAGCAACTTCGCGTGTATGCTGAAAGGACAACACAACACAGGGCTAAGCAGCTCCTCTCCCGCCATCCCTTCCAGAACAAAACTTAATTGACAAAATTGGGCGATTAAGGACACACACCCCCTCCGCACACAGGACTACTCTCGGGAGTAACAGCAAGGGACAAGCTCTTTCCTCCCCGGGATCTGCGCTTCTGGCATTGGCTTCCCTGTTAACGCAAACCAAGCAGCAGTCGCTGAATATCAATAGAAGGGGGGGGGGACTCGCAAAACACAGAAGCTAGAGGCATTCCTTTGCTCCAAGGCTGAGGGGAGGGAGAGTCAACTCAGAAAAAAAAACGTGGCGTAAAGGCGGAAGATCAGTATCGTTCGGTACTTCCTGCGCCCCTAAGAGAAGAGGAGTACGATAAATAGGAAGATAGGAGCAAGCCTGAGAAAAGTGGACGCTCTGTTTAAAGGAAAGCTTAACTCCCTCCAATTTGGTTCCGAGAAAAGCCCACCTAGTAAGCAAGATCAGATTGGATGGGGGGGGGGGAGATTTTAACTTGCAAATACCGCAGAAGCTTAAGGAGCTTATGCTAGGAAGCGAGTGGGGATATGCCCGGACAAAGACAAGAGTTCCTGGTAGTACGCACCAAGCGGCAAAGCGGCATCCCCACCGACCCCAGACAATTCCCGCGAAGTCACCGCCAAACTCTTACCTCCCTCTCCAGTTGCACAGATCGCTCGAGTACTGCGCCGTGCAGCCCCTATCCAGTACCAGTAGCCCCAGTAACAGCAGCAGCGGTGAAGGCGGCAGGAGCAGCCCTGGCACTGGGGTCCTCCGCATGGTCCCCGCCGGGCTGCTCGATAATGGCTCCACCAGCCGAGGCGAGAGAAAAGCGCCCGTGGCCTGTGCTACATGGCGAGAAAAAACTTAGCTTGTGTCAAGTCACTCGGCACGAGCCCATCCTTGCTGACCAACCGCTCCACACAAGTATCGCACTACTTCTCTAAACCGGCGCTGGCTCTGCTCTCCGGGCTTAGTTAAGGGCGGGGAACCATCTCGCTCAGGAACCGCCCACTCCGGAGCTGGCTTCTAAAACCCGCACTGGAGATTCAATCGAGCGGAATCGAGTATTTGCTGCACACACCGACCGCTTCCCTCCACATCATACGGCGCTGGGACATTTGCTCATGAGAGACCTCTCTCTACAACAATCTTCAAAACTTCATCGCTCTCTGTTGTTGTTTGGTGGTAGGGCATCTGTGTTTTGAAAAAAACTGATAAGATAACAAATAAGCCTGGAGAAGAGACACTGGTTAAATGATTATTTATGTATTTAGATGTTTAAACTCTGCTTTTCTTCCAAATGAGGCCCAGAACGATTTATAGCATCTTCATTTTATCTTCACAACATCCTGTAAGGCTGCCTAGGCTGTGAGAGAGTGGTCGGCCCAAGGTCACCCAGTGAGCTTCCATGGCAGAATAGTGATTCAGACCTCAGTCTCCCAGATCCTGTCCTGACACTCTAACTCTGGGGTCCCCGACCTTTTTGAGTCTGCACAGTGTGATGGGCACAGCCACAAAATGGCTGCTGCAGGAAGTTCAAAGATCCTTGTGCTGCAGTGGCAGCTGCTGTTAAAGCAACATTTTAAAAAAATCTGCACCGCCAATGAAATCTTCAATGGCCAGTCAGAAACCTTGCTGGGCGAAAGCCCCACTTGGCCCTGCCCACTTTCTAAAAACATTTGTCACTCATTGGGTGCGTTCAGACGCTGCCTTTCTGCCGGCATAAACTGCACCGGTTGGAACCGGTGCAGTTTATGCCGGCAGAAACGCGATCAGACTTACCCTCCATCTTGCGGAGCCCTCCGGTGGACGCACGCTCACACGCTGCGGGCGTCTGCGTGTGTGTGTGTTTTTTAAAAGGACAGTTTGAGCATGCGCATAGGCAGCCATTCAGAGAATGCCGATTTTTGTGCATGCTCAACCCCCCCCCCCTACATTTAAACTTTAAAGGTAAGCACTTACCTTTAAAGTTTAAAGCCCAACCTGGCCTCCCTGTAGTCCCGAACTCCTCCAGGAAGTTAAAGTAAGGCTTTTAAAAAAAAAAAAAACGCTCAGGGCAAAGCTTCGCCTGAGCGCATATCGCTTAGTTTTTTAAAAAATGGCCGGGGAAAGCCGGAAGCCTCAGGCTTCCGACGGAAGTAGCTGGGGAACGGAGGAGAGCGATCAGACGCCGGGGTGCACCGATTACAACCGTTGCACTCTGTTTACCACCACTTCGGACCTAGTGGTAGAGTGCAACGGTTTAAAGGGATTTACAACGGTTAGGGACGGGAGGCAGATGTTCGCTGTGTGAACGCCCGTAAGTACACCGGTTGGAACTGGCACCCCCGTAAATCCCCCGTCTGAACGCACCCATTGGGCGCCAGGAACGGTGTCAGCAGATGCCATCGCACCCATGGGTACCATGTTGGGGACCCCTCTCTAACTGCTACACATGAAAAGAGCAAGAGTCCAGTAGCACCTTAAAGACTAACAGAATTTGTGGCAAGGTATGAGCTTTCATGAGTCACTGCTCACTTCTTCAGATATAGCTAGAATGTGAGTCCATCTGTCCTTATATCTTGAAGAGTGGAGTGATTTCAGATGCTGAATGACAGTACAAGGCAAATGACAATAGCAGGTGAATGTGATATGCAGAGGGGTAGATATGCAGAGCGGTAGTAGGCATGGAGAAATCAGCATTGGTAATGAGACAGGAAACTTAGGTCTGGGTTCAGTCCAGGAGGATGCATTGTCTTGAGCTTCATTATCAGTTGCAATTCAGCAGTTTCTCTTTGTAATTTCCCTTTGAAATTCCTTTTGTAAAAGAACTGCTACTCTTAGGTCAGCAACTGAATATCTTGGAAAGTTAAAATGCCCCCCGCCCTGGCATTTGAATGTTGTGGTTTCTAATGTCCATTTATTCTTTGTTGTAGGGACTGGCCTGTTTGTTCAATGTAGAGGGTGGAAGGGCATTGCTGACACATGATGGCATAAATCACATTAGAGGATGAGCACGGAGACCACCAGGAGTATGAATCTGAGACGATATGGCTGATGTTGCTTGGTCCAGTGATAGTGTTGCTAGAATCTATATGAGAGCAAAGTTGGCATCTTGGTTTGTTGCAGGCCTTGGTACCAGAGTCCATGTTACTGTTAAATAGTTTATCATTGTGGGTGAGAAGTTGTTTTGGGTTAGCAGGATGTCTCCAAGATATAAGGTCAAGTGGACTCCCATTCGAGCTGTATCTGAAGAGGTGAGCAGTGATACCCTGCCACAAATTTGTCTAAGGTGTTACTGGACTTTTGCTCTTTTCTGCTGCTACGGACAGACTGACTGACACAGGTCCTTTCTGCATTTGCCTGCCACTCCGGATTTTCTCGGTGTTTGAGTCGAGGCAATTTAAGTCCAGGGCAAAACAGCTGAAACTAGGCTGACCACTGAAGGGAGGTAATGTAATGCACAATGGGGGGGGGATAGAATAAAGAGAAGGTTGAACTCAATTTTAGTGCAGAATGGGGGGAAAACTTTGATTAAAAAGAAGGTTGAATTCAATTTTAGTGCAGAATTGCTTGGAGGACACCGCGGTGAACATGGATTAAAAGGAGAGGGCAGAAAGGGCCACGGCTTCCCATCTTGCTACACATGAGTGTTGCATCACTGCTAAAGGTACACACACTATGCTTTCTACTCATTCACAGCAACCCCACAACAACATCCGGAATTTGATACCTTTGCCTCCAGGTCATCTCTTCTACAATTTGAGCCAAGCCAGAAGATGTTTACACCGTGCAGTGACAGTGTGTGCAATTAAATGAATATATGTTGTCTTCCCTATCCCCTATGAACATTGTTAGTCCCCTGTCTAAAATGTGTAACTGTACATCGCTTTGAGCCCACTGGGGAAAGCGATTAATAAATTGGAAGTATTATTATTAGTAGTAGTAGTAGTGGTAGTAGTAGACAGTGTGCTGATGTCTGGTGGTATATCTCATTTGGCCCCTGTCATTTCACTGTTCCGCTATGCAAAAGGGTCTGAAGTTGCTATTTTTTAAGCAATATTGCCTGAAGAAGCAGTGCAGAAAACCTGAAATGAAGTAGAACTGGACTGAAAGAGAGAGCTTCAGGACCAAGGGGGGTGAATTAAGCTAACCAAATAAAATGGAACTTACTTCAAAGTAGTAGACCTGGTCTTCAGTGCGTATGTGTGTGTGTGTGTGTGTGAACTTTAAAACCTACATTAAACATATTTCAGATAGGATTGCTAACTGGCCTGGAGATAAATGTTCCGTCCCTTTAATAGAGGCTTAATATGTTATTTACAAAGTGGTGTTATTTACTTTCATTCCAGGGAAAGGTTTATCTGTACCTTTCCATACTTAAGCCTTTGTTAAAAGAATGGAAGATTGGCAAACTCTAATTTTAACCTTAATATATCAGGGTGGGGTGGTTTTCTATCCCTTACTCAGCTCCCTAAAATTATAGAAAATTATCAGGAATGC